AAGCACCAACATCTAGGGCTATCGGCTCTACCCCAAACTTTGAAGAACTATTTCAGCTTATTCTCCTTCCAACTAAGGCCATGAAGCGCTTGAAGCATTATTGCCTAATTTTTTTTCGATTTTCTGAACGATTCGAGTGCCCAGAGTGTTCGAGGTGCCATGATAAAGGCTGAGGTCTCAGTAAAGGCTGCTTTTGCTAATGCGTGTATTATTATAGAAACTGCAACTTTTGCGGTTTTAAGTGAAACATGATTCAGTCTATGGCGACCTATAAAATGATTGACGGATAGAAAGATGGACCTTGAAATAGTTAATTATTCACACTTATTCTAGTTCAGCTTAAATCAATTCAATATCGTTTTGTAGACACCTCACGGCATCAACTAAGTTAAATGATCGAAAAATTCCGATATCATCATCGGAGAGGAATAGAACATTTATCTAAAAAGGCAAGCCATTAATAAAGAGTATAACCAAGCACGCAGACAGTTACTTATGCGGCAGCCTGGAAATAATTTCCATATATGATTGAACCTAACCACAAAAAAGGATGCATTAAAGGATGCGCTTAACATCAATCGGCTTTTAAATTATCTACGGAAAATATAAAATACGTGGAAGATCTCCCGTCTTTAGAAAATAGCAAACATTTTCTTAATAGCTTTCACAAAGTAATTGTGTTTTTATTCATTTTCAGCTACATATTGATCGATCTTTCAAATTACGGACAAAGAGTGCTTTTCCGAATTTGCGGTAAAAATTTCATCAACATTTTTTCCCATTAATAAGAGCTAAAGTTCGTTCCCGCCCCCGAAAGAAATTTCTAAGATTATGGGATTAAATCTGTGAAATCCTAAACATTTTCAAGCAAAGAAAATTTTTGTGTAGACTGTAAGACAGACTTGTTTCATATTTTTGGTTAACTGATGCCACTGTAATAGTTTCTTAAATGTTTACCGTTTGATTTTTTTTATCCATTTATTCATTTTCTAAGATCGTACGTGCGAGTGAGTTAGTGCACGAATGTGAGATTTTTATGTGCTTGCGTTAAATCAGATGAAATTTATCTTTGCGAAATGCTATCTCGCAAATACACTCTCTTCATCTCCCGTTATAATAACAGCAGTTACAAGAACAACAACTATTTCCTACGTGCTCTTGTGGTTACATAAACTTCAAATAAATGAAATTGAAAATATAATTTCCGTATAATCTCCTTTTTTGTGGTTCATACGAATGCCGTCTCATATAACTTGAAGAAAGAAGACATAGGTTGAGGAGGACGAGGAGGAGGAAGTATCATTCACATATGTATGCATTAGTTATGAAAATTTTGCATTTATACTTGTGTATGTGTAGCGTTCTTTTTATTCTTCTTCTTCTTCTTCTTCTTAAGTTGTTACAAATAAACTTTAATTCGATTTATATTATTGCTTAACTTAAAGGGATTCATTTGCTTTTTTTGCGATTTGATGATAAAGTTCGTAGATTTTCACACCTTATCTGAGAATCCACCATCGGTATAATTGCATTTGGTTTAACATGTATATGTAAATTTTTGTTTACCCGTTCGTTTAAAAAAAAATTCTACGTATCGATGAAATCGCAATTTTTACTTTGATTATGCTAAGAATGTGATTTCTAAATACAAACGCATACACACACACACACGCACACACACACGCACACACACAAACATTTACATATGTGTCGATACGATATACCAAACCCCTAATGTTTACTTTTAAACGTCTCCTTTTCTTCCTCTTCTTCTTCTTGTTCTTCGTCTATTTTTTTTTTTTTTCTTTTAAGACACTTTTTTATGGCATGTCTTTCGAATTCGGGCGTAAATCTGCTTAGTCTGTTGCCTAACATAAGTGAAAAGTTCTGTCAACATAACAACTCAAGCTGAAGCTCTAGCATTACTGAAAAGGGCGAATAGCAGGAAAATCACCAGAAATTTGTTTACCATTTAAATTTGATTTTTATCCTATTTATCCTTTAGAATTGTTGCAATTGAAAGGATTTGTTACATTTTTCGATATCGACATGTATGTATATATATATGTATGTATGTATGTGCGTATGCATGTGTATGCACGTAAGGGTGTGAATTTTAGTGTTATTTCTTATATCATTACCAGCATATAACATGTAAGTACGTACACACGTGTATATTGTGTATGTATGTATGTATGTGTGTATGTCAAATGTGTTTTAGCCATGTGTTGTGATTTTCATGTGACAACGTTTGATTTGATTTTAAAATTACCTTCACATCACAGCAGGAATTGATAGCGATATTTTTCACTCGACAGCGATGACGATGGTGACGTGTGTGCGTATAAATATTTCTTTTTTATTTTATTTTGTTTTTTTGCATAGCGGAACTAATTTGCTGACAAAATATCGTAAAATAATATAAACGAAATCAATTTTGATTGAAAATGTAAATAGATATGTGTTGAAATGGTTAGCTAAGTAAGGCTTAAAAATCGATAAACCAAATAAACAATGCTACGATGGATTTAAATTCAACTCTTTAATGCTAATGTAGGGATTTTTTTTTTTTTTTTTTTGCTAAAATGTCCTTTCAATAAATCCTTCAATTTATCCAGTAATCAAATTTTTTATTTAATTATGTCAAAATGTTTGTGTTCTGTACTTATTACCCTTTCTTTTTAAAATTTTTAAACGTTTGATTGCTTTTTTTATCAAATGATATCTTACACAGCCAGTAATGATTGTTAACTTAATGTTGATGCTCCCTCGACCTTTCTTATATTGCTTTAGTAAGCTTTTTGCGTATCTTAAGTGAAAGAGAAAAGATCTCAGCTGATTTGTGAACCTAGAAAATCCCATACTTGTTCGCCATTATAGTAACACAGATCGCTGCTGACATAAGTCCATGGGTTTTTTGTGACAGCCAATGCTTTACTTCATGTCAAAGTTTTTGAAACATTAGATCATTTTTTTAAATTACTTTGAACGGCTTTCTAAAGAAGATGACCCTGCAAGTATTGGTTACACAGTCAATTTCTTTTAAACCTACTCTTATAACTATCATCGGGTTATAGAGAGTAGAGAGCAGAAATTCCACTAAATGTCGACATTCTTTTTCAGCGCAAGATTTTAAACCGATTCGATCAATAATGTTTCTTTTTAATTTCTACACGATTTCTGTATTAATAATCAATTTTTGAAAACTCCTCGGATTTGCAATTGTCGACAAAATCTTATGATTAAACCTATGTTTTGTCAATGCCAATAGTTTTCCAACCTTTGAAGACTCTCTTTCAGATCAGTTAACTCTGCGAATATCGAGAGAGTACGCGGAGAACATGACTTAAAGCGATTGAACTAACCACAGAGTCTATTTTTAAAAAACAACTAAGGCCTATAGCGTCGGTTGATAGTGTTCATCCCGATTTTGTTTGTTTGCTCTAAACGAATTATAATGATAATAATGAATGAAGACATGAAGCAGAATATACATAACTGGATTATATAGAGACTAAGACTGAGATAAATAGAAATAAAAAATGAATAAAAAGTCTTGCACAACAAGTGAGGCACATTGCCACCAATATATTAAAATGTCGCATGATTGACGGTATTGATCTGAACAGGTGGAAGTACAATTGTTAAAAAAAGTGTGGAGAACGATGTGACAGCTTTACGATATTTGAAACTTTGATGATGACTTTTCGGCAACGCAAGCGTCGCGAACATATCATAGGATTGCACCAAGTTCTCTCGTTTGTTATTGTTTTCATTTTTCTTAAACTTTTTAAAAATTATTGTTTTGAAGTAAATTGATATTTAAATGCCTTTTCCTCAAAAATGTTGCAGCAACATTTTTTTTGTTTTTCTACTTCAATTCTGAAAAAAGTTCACACATTGTAAAGGTTTTAAAAATTGCACACTCTAACATAACATAAATTACAACAAATGCAAAAAAGAAGAAAAAAAGATGCATACGTCGAATGAGGCATATTTCCAAATGCAAATAGGCTTTGAAAAAGAAAACAAGCATCATGTTGTGTTATACAAACACGCGTCTAGCATACGCGTACAAATTTGTTTTGTTCTCTGATACCATCAGATATATTGTACAATGCAGTAAGTTGTCGTATCATGACAAAAAAATTTCTATTTGTACAATTTGGTTAGTTTTCGCTTTTTTTTTTTTTTTGTTTAAATTTCTTTGTCAAAATGATTGTTGTTGTTGTTGGTATTGTTGTTATTGTCCTTGTTGAATGCACATCAATTACAGTTTATTGTTGCAGTTGTTAACACGTACGTAACGTATAGCATAAAGCTTCTAATAAAAATTGTAGAAAAAAAAAAAAAAAAGAAAGAAAGAAAAACAACAGAAACAAAGCCGAACAAATGGTATCTGAAAATATATTTTACGCTGAATTATTGATGTTGCTAGCATAACAAAAAAAAAAAAAAAATTTCAACTCCTGTCAGTCAATTGCCTAAAGTTGGAATATTCACCGCGCGAGGTTTTACACTGACACCTATAGAAGCCATAGAAAACTTACTCTAAATGCTTATAGATATGAAGCTATAATAAATTTCACAATTTGTCAAGGCCATTAAAATGGTAAACTAAAGTTCAATTGCACGTAAAGTGAAGGCGTAAATCAAAAAAAAAAAAAGTGATAATAAATTTGTTTTTTTAAAGGTAGGCACAAAACGTTCACATATAGTTTCCCGTCTATCTCTTCAATTGTTTGACTTTTGTATGCAATTGCTATGCATTTAATGATAAATATTCGTAGGCTTTTGTATTGCACACACGCACACAAAACACACACATACACTTATACATGTATCATATATATATATATACATGTATCATATATATATATATATATATATATATGTATCATATATCCATTCATGCATTTGTTCATTCTTTTGTTCATTCATTCATTCAGTTAACATTCCACATGAATTGCCTTGAATGCAGTTGATCATCATGCACTCACCTGTGAAAAACCACCAATTTGTTGCCATTGATTTAACGACCGGTCTGCTCTGCTACGATACTGCACCGTTCGTCTGCTTTCGTGTCTGGCAACTGCCAATTTTGGCAATGGCTTGGAAATGATTTATTACGGAAAAGTGTGCGGTCGGCGAATATTCAAATTTATATTTCTTGGGGCAAACACATACAAGCAAACAGTCAATTTTCTAGAAAGAGAAAACGTAAAATTTTCAAATTTTCAAAAAATCTTTGCAAGAATTATTTCATTTATATTTAAGGTAATATAAGTAAATTATTTTAAAAATAAGTAAAAATACTATAATGGGCCACAGTCTACTATTAAATATCTTATACAACTTTAGTTAACACTATGACAGTATAGACGGATTTTTCAAAACAAGGCTTTATGTGGGAAGTGAGTGGAAAAGTGGTCCGATCTGAACTATTTACGATAGCATTCTTCTTTGGGCCAAAACAAGTGAATCTACCAGATTTCGTTAAAATATCTTGAAACTTACGGTCAGAAGACAAGTTGAACTGGTGTTAACAAGACAGAAGGACGGACAGACAACGCTAGATCGATTCAGAATCTCTGCGCAAATTTAGTGTAGTGAGCTGATTTCCTATTTTTTACAAGCCTGCAGTAAAACAAAATTATAATTTTCAGTAACTAAATCCACTACGTATATAGGTTAGCCTTTATATTTCTCTTTTAGTAGCGCCACGAAAGCATAAATATTTCTAAGATAAAGCACTTTGGTATGCAAACATCTTTTTACCGCGCGTTTAAGACACGTTTCCGATCCCAATTTGAATGGGAGCATATCGTTCAATCAAAATGCTTTGGCTTTGTAAATTCATGCTTTTGTCAATTAATTACAATCATTTTCAAAATTCAAATTAATTTTGCTTTCTCGGTATCGTATTCGTATTAGAGTTCCCTGGAACAACATATGTATTTAGCGCTTTATCACGTGTTCAATAATCCTATAAAATATAAGTAATTGAGTCAGTTTGCTGTACTTGTTGTATTATATTCGATTATTTGTTGAGCGTAATTTAATGTAATTTACGCTTGTCACTTATGCCAAATTGCTATTTAACGCACACAATATTACCTAGGGAGCAAGTAAGAAAACGAATGAAATTGAAATTGAGATCATACGCGATTTCAATTTATATCAATGCGTTATGTAAACCAATGATATATGCTTGGCTGGCTGTATGACTGGTAGTAAGATTTCAGTATATTTTTGTGTGAATATTATTAAAATAAATATGAACTTTGTTGAAAAAATCCTCAAATTCTCTAAATTGCAAGCTTTTGTCTTAAATTCATTGTGTTTTACTTTTATCGTGACTTTATTATTACACTACATACAATTCGGTATGAAAATAAACGATTGATTTTATTGCTTACTCGACAGATTTATGAATTTTAACTTTACAAAGATAGAAATCAACTTGCTTTACGAAAAAGTTTAGCAATTTAGCAGCAGAATATCACCTTAAAGCAAAACTAAAAGTTATTAATCTATTACCTTTGCTTCAAGCCAGATGCTTGCAGTAGTAGTAATGTGTTAAGTAAAAAAGAAGATAAAAAAATTTACTACGTATATGTATGTAAGGATATTTTCAAAAAAAAAAAAAATAAATAAAAGCAACGGTCAGCAAAATGACGCCTTCAATTTCCGGTTTAGCTAAAAGTTCTCATATTAGCACAACATATGTTCAACACATGTATCATCAACTTATAGGTAAAGAGGAGGTGCGCATCTATGTGCGAGTCGAACATGATAAAAACAGTGTAAAACTTTGTCGTCATTTTACAAACTTGCTTACGAACGTACATGAACGAACGGTATACGCATTCACACAAACTGACACACACACACACACACACGTAGACGCACACACACGTAGCCGCACACATTATAGCAACAACAAACGGATGTTGTCGATATTCAACTAATGGCTCAATGACCAACATACACCATTACCTTTTGCACTGACTGCCAGTGTTAGCTGTGAAACATTTTCACAATATTCCCCAACTGTTCTATTGTCTATGTGTAGTATCTCAAAGTGTAGTGTCTGCATTTATGGCAGCTTAACACTATAGTAATATAAACATAGATACATACATACTTTTTTGTATAAGAGATTATCGTTCTCATCATCATCTTTTCTACATGTGTTGTATAAGCGGATAAACTTTATTGCACTTTTGTCTATCTATAAGTTTTCCAATATGAAAGTTTTTTTCTTTATATATCCTCCGAAATTGTATGATTTATGCCTTTTTTTTTGTGTATATATGTATACACTTTAGGTGTTTATGTGTTAGAATCCGGTTTCTTCTTTCTATGTGTCTTCAACAAACCTCATGCTGAACGTATTGTTTTTCTAATGTTTCTTGTTTTTTTTTTTTTTTTTTTTTTCTCTTCTCTTATTGTTTTCCGAATTTATCGATTACATTGAGTTATTCAATTAGTAGCTATTAGTGAGGTTATAATTGGTTTAAAAACTAACATAAAACGTGAGATGGTTATATTTCCAAAGTAGTTTATGCTTCATAGTAGCAAATGGGCAGCAAAGCCAACATGTAGGGCATAATAATATCACCTTTTGTTCATTTTGATAAGTTTATGAAAAACAAAAAAAACATTAAAAAAAAATGAAAAGTTCGGGGTTTTCCAGTATAAAAACTACAAGTCTTAAAAAATTTATACATTTTTTGTATTCTTATCATTTCCGAACAAGGTGATGAAAATGTGGGATTTTTCTGACGACAATCCTTTTTTCTTTTGGTCTCTCTTACGTTGTTAGGCAATAGAAAAATGAAAGCAAAAAATTTTTAAAATCTTTAGTTTAGTTAGGTTAGTTTGCAAGACTGATCTTTAAAAATACAACACTGATATTCTTCTTCTTCCTTTTCTTTTGTTTTGAGGAAATTGCGGCTATAGAATTAATAAATTTTAATTTAGCAAAATAATCCCACTTTACTTGCTTCAATGAATGAAGGCTTAAAGTAAGGTAATTTGAAAAACTTGGTTTTCAGAAAATGGGTTTAACAGTTTCAGGCCTCTTCGTGTATCCCATATGTTTCAATTTCTACTTCACGAATTCTGCTTTGGCTTTGTCAAGTTATCAATGACATTGGAAATAGCTGCAATAGCGCTTTACTATTGGGTTCGCAAAATAGGCTTCTTGGTCTATCTAAAACTAACCCTGGTACCCTACAAACAAATTTATTATTGATGGATTTCGTGGTTGAGATTTCATGTGTGTTTTCATGTAACTACACGAATAGAAATGCGTACACGATGGTCAGTAAATCCGGGAAATGTTGAGAAAGTCTCAATCTAGAATAAAGAGAAAACTCTACGTTGGAATAAATTTGAACTGACATAGTCTTGAAGTTGATTGAAGTTGAGGCTCGATTCTGATTCTTAGCGATTCGTACCATTAAGGTTTAGTTAAGAGTTTTTCTTCTCTGGCCTGTTATCTTACCTTGCCTCGTTCATTGCCTTCAATGACGGAAGGGAAAGAAATGACGACATTCGAAAGAACACCTTTCACGTTTCAATAAGAAATCTTGGAAAAAATTGAAATCTGTATGCATAACAATCTCAACGCATATGCCTATAAGATATTTATAATGGTTGACGTACTAATAAGAATTTCGAGAAAGCCTATGATCTGTCTCCTCTATCCAATGAAGAGCGTGGCAATAAGAGTTGAAATCTTGAACATTTGCTTGAACAAATGAAGACTAATGTCGGTCTATGTCTCCAAGCAAAAGACTCATACAAATCATGCTAGGAAACAAATGCTTTTTCTTTGATATACCAAATTTTCGTAAACTATATTTTCGGACAATTTAATATTAAATTTGTAATAAGTCAACAGAAAAAGAGAAGACATATCAGACGAAGGTACAATTATCTTTTTGCTTTGCATATGTTTTCCATAAGATTCTCGACAAGAGTAAGTTATCACAAAAAGCATTTCTTTAGCTACATCTTCTTTGAATTTCCTTATTCTGTTTTTTTAATGGAAAGTGCTCGACTGCGCATTTTCAAATTATTTATTTATTTTTTTAAATAACTCCATCTGTTTTTTCATCTGATTATAATGAAGCCCCAAAAATTACTACAGATCGTTGGCAGAAACGAATTGATTGAAAGAAATATGTCTTCCCGTGTGGTAAGTGCGGATGTTTTTTCTCTCGTTCAGCTTGCTTGTGTGCAGATTGAAAATTGTAAATTTACATAATTACACCCGCTCATTAGCATTATAATTAACATAGGCATTAAGCAGCTTTTCAATGACAGCAACAGCACTGATAAGCGTACAGTTACTTAAAAGCAGACAGAACTTGGCAGGTGGTTTTTGTGCCATCTCGTGTGATAATCACAAGCAAAATAACATTTGCCACGTAATAAATTACCGCAAACAAGCTAAACACACGCTGAAAATATTATATTTTATAAGTGTGACGATGTGTGTGTGCGTGTATATATATATATATATATAAGTATTATGCAGTAAGAGTAAGCAAGTTGATATAAAGGAATATAGCGGTAGTGGTAGACATAGTAGAAATAGTAACAACAGCAACAACATAGCAATGGCAGCATGAGCCCACTAATTACCGTACAATTTGTGGTATAAAATACGTTGTTGATTTGTGAGTCAATTAAAGTCAAAACCAAGCCATTTTAAATGCCATTTACAACAGCAGCAGCAGCATCAGCAGCAGCAACAACAACACAATACCAACCATAGGTTACTGCTATCGAGTGATATAAAGGAGCAACTAGACTTGCATAATATCTGCCTACTTTATATAGGAGATGCTGTTACCGAACTTTATTGCACAGGTTATTGCATATGTTTTGTGCGTGTGTGTGTATGTGTATGTGTATGTATCTATAAGTGTATAAGTGTATGCATTTAAGCAAAGGTTGTCACTGCTTTCAGTTTGCTCAACAACGTATATGTATGTGTTTTCATTTTGGCCATTAACGTGAAGTATGTTCCAGCCGCACAACGACTTTTCAATGAAGGTGTTTGCCATATGTTGCAAATGTGCAGTTATTTACGGTTTTAGGTTTTAGTGCTAATTATTAAGTGGTTGGCAACAACCGCAATGCCACTCTGCACAAAAAAACAACATTAAAAATTGACCAAATAATTTAAA